AAGAAGCTCCAGATTATGTAGTCTTATTTAGTAGGTCCTTTCCTAAGCATTTCTTCTTAACCCCGATGGAATATGTCATAAGGTCAAGGAAACATGTGAAGGAGAATTCATAAGGACTTAGAAAAACACAACCTCGATACTGCGAGAATCCTATTGCACTTTATTATGCTCTGTAATTATGCGCCAGCGGATGTTGATGATGTGTGTCTCTTATGGTGAAACTACCCTGAATTTTAGATACTTTACACCTGCATTCTCACCGTGTTGTTCAAGTGGACAACCCAGGGAAAAATATGACTTCATTGACATTGCCAATTATTACTATGTTTATTTATAATTCATGTGTGTTCACCCCTTCTTTGCCCAACTTTGAGCCGAGTGGTGACAAATTCATGTTTGTAGTGACGAACATTCACAGAATTACCACCCAATCTTGCTCATCAATGTGACAAAATTGAAGACAAGCTGGTGAACATCATAAAGGAGCATTTAGCAGCAAAAAGATAAGATATTTTGAGTTGGTGGAGCCAAAAGAAGAGTGAATATTGGAATGGACATATAGGACATTTACAGACTTCAAATCAATACTACTGTAATTTTGATCTATGTTTGCTGGGTGTGTATATAGACAAGTGTTGGAAGACCATATTTATAAGGTGACAATAGAGTGGCCAAAAATGTATTATTGCAGCTTTAAACAAACATTCTGACGACTCAGACAGCAAGTGATGACTTTACATTAAATCTATCTGACTCAATGGCTTTGGTCTAAACCTTTGGAACAATCAATCATCATGGTTGGCCCTGCCGCTCAAGGTTGCTTGACAAGCACTTGTAACTGTCATTTTGAAATAAATAAATGAAAGAGCCCTTTGGCAAAGTTTCACATATGGGGGCACATTCTGACAGATTCGTGTTACGGCCTGTTTATCTGCTCCGGTCTTTGATTTTTGTCTGCCTTCCAGTTATTATAAAGCAATTCTTGTTTATTTGAGACTAATGAAAGAACAAGTGTAAGTACAATATGTTGTACTATATTCTTAGAAATAACACATTTGGCTGCTTATGATCAGTAAATTATCAGTTTAGTGTTATGATAGTTTCATCTGTGGCTTCATCCAGCGATGGTTCCCAGAGTCTCATTATTATGTAGCCTAAAGCATACTTGATACACAACGGACCACTCTGCATCCAGCCAACTGGGCACTCAACTGTTTCAGACAGCTGCTCCACATTTAAGCGATGAGAAGTAACAAGAAACTACACCACGTCCTATAAAGATGTCAGTAAAGTCTCAGTGCTGCCTACTCTCAACATAACATGCGACAAGATGAACTTTTCACTTGCTCCCTCTTTTAATTTTACTTGTCTGGCTGTGCTGCACATCCTGGAGAAAGTCCATAGTAAACGCCACTCTTAGTGCTAAAAGATCAGTTACTTGCTATATTTAATGACTCAGGAGAGTTTTTTGAACTATGTACCATGTACAAAATGTGGTTGGTGCTCTCTGAAAGTACAAACCAGTTATGACTCATGAGTGTTGTAGGTTTTGTCCCAAATGAGCAGTTCAGGAAAAGCAAAGAAGGGAAAGGCTCAAAATAAACCACTGCCTGAGGGCTACATATATCAAACTCTATACTTCATTCAAAATGTGTTTTGTCCACTCTATCTATGTTGTGCATTTGGACTTTGACAGTAAGGTACAGTTTGAGAAATGTAATACTCTACTCAAACAAGTGGCAGTTGTTGAACTATACCATAATGGAATTTCTTATGTGAAGAACTGAGGGCAAAAGAAAAGGTATTAGGTTTTCCTTGTTTTGTATTTCCTAGAAAGTTATGCCAGTCTTTTTTGGAAGCTCAATGTCGACGGTGTTGTATCTAAATTTGCAGTTGGAGACATGCAGTCTTCTTTTTTCTGCAGTTCTCTGCCATCATATGACTGTAAATAACAGGTATAACAGCTTTCAGAAAGCTTAAAATCTATCACACCATATTACATACTGTCAAAGGTTTATCAAACCATCAAACCAGTCTTGTTGCAGGTAAATTTGACATCTTATATATAAATGTCAGTAAAAAAGTCTTCTTCTGTGCATGACATTGTCTAGTGGTTTTAATTTTTTCTTGAATAAATGCGGCCCCTCTGGAGTCTTATCACCTTTATTTTTGGAGGCATCAGTGCAAGAAGGGAGTCACTGCTGCAACCTCATGACCTGGTAGTTGCTGATAAGAAGTTGTAGAGTTCCAATGCCCTCTGTTTGACTTCTGTAAAGAAATGTTGATATTAATGTCTGGCTAAAGTATAAAAAAGTAGAAGTTGTCCACCTAAAAAAATGCCTTTTTACTGTCTGAGTCAACATTATATTAATGCCTTACATTCTCAGCCAGTAATGCCAATTTGCAATGTAAAAAGACAATTAAAATTTTAAATGTAGGGGCTGCTCTACAAGATTTATAATAATTTTATCAATTGAAATACAGTCCGGGATCCTTTGAATGTGAGATCAATTATCCCTATATTTTCCCCTATGGCTCTGTCTTATGTCCTGTAAACACAGGCTTCAGAGATGCATTTAATACGGCTGCTCAGCATTCGTATTTTCGAGTGTTGTGATTGATTGGCACACTTCCCTGCAGGTTGTCAACCATTATCATAACAGCCATGTCCTCACCTACTTCAGGACACAATAGCTTTCAATGTGCTGCATTACTGGTGTTAAATGAATCCAATAAACTGAGCTTTGTATTGTGTAAAGTCAAATATACCTGACAAAAACACTGCGACAACATGCAATAAGACACCAAAAAAGAAGAAATGAATGTTTTTTGCTAAGCGATTTTGGTCAAACTCATCATTCACTCAAAACAGTCAAAGTAAAGCAGCATATGCTTCAGTGGTTTTTGCCACATCTTTAGTATACTATTAAGACAATAACCACAGTTTTAATGTTGCAGGTAGTCTCCATAACTACTAAATTCTAGATTGTTCTTGGGCTTACACTTCACTTTTAAAGATGTTGACAACATGGAGAGTTAGTATACACATGAGAAAAATGGTCAATCTTTTTATCTGTCACTTCATTCACTTCCTATTAAAGCAAATTGCATGCATTGATTTCATTCTGGTTGTGAAAAGACGGCTGGTTATGAAAACTGTGAAGAAATGTCTGAGGTATCCATTACTCAAAAAAACAACTCAGACACTGTGATAGTCCAGTGCCTGATCTCTTTCATCTTGTTCATAATTCCTGGGGTTATTATGAGTTGAATATTAGGGGCTGCCACTCTTCTCCCCCCTCTGCGCAGTGCACTAACACTAAATGGAGTCACTGTAATTATAGCTTTCATGCATGGGAAGGTTCATTTTCTGAGGTATCTTGAAGGGCTCAGGGAAAAGGAAAAAAAATCAACGTTGTGACTGACAAAAGAAGGATGGAAAATATCTCAGCCCAAAACACCTCTGTCACTAAACCAGAGTATAAGTATTGGTATTAATGCTATTATCACAGCTATTAACAATGGAGGGAGCTTCAGTTATGCAAATTAGAGTTGTGTTTGTGACAAGATGAACTTTTCACTCCCCCTCTTTTAATGCTGCTTGTCATGGAACATTGGTTGTTGTCTCATTTCCAACACAGGAGAATGTCCCTTGTAACCTCTGGAAACCAGCTTCCTGGCTCTCTGTCACAGCTAGGCCTGCAAATAGAAATGTATCCCAACTCCTACGCTCTCATACCACTGCAATAAACAATTTATCTCTTCAGATAAATAATAACCAAAGATGGAAAGGCAACTCTCACAGCACCCAGAATGAATTTATGGAAGATCACGGCCCCCTTTTCTGATTTTAAACCAAGGGTATGGCAATAGTCTGAAGCTCGCTTCAGTGTAAAAACTGAAGTAAACCATTCAGGAGTTCACAGCCACTCACCCCATTTAATTTCAATGAAGCAGCTCCAGACAGTGCATCTTGATAACATCACAGACAGCAATCTTGGCTCTGTGGTCTGTGAGATAAGATTTTAAGATAAGATATCATGAAACTATATTGATCCTCCTGTGGAAATTCATAAAAAGAAAGTATAGGGGAAGGCGTTATATGAAATTTAGAGAAAAATAATAGGATACTTTTTATATAAGATATAAACTCAAAACCGGGAAATAAAATCAGCAATAAAACCGGAAATAAAAAACACCGAAACAACACAATGCCATAAAAAATAACGACAGGGATATCTTACACTTGAATACCACGGTACCAAATTAGAATATCCCCGCAGTAAAATCTCCAACTGAGTCATTTTTAAGCACATGCTCCCTGAAATAGTGACACAAGGTTGATTTAGTGCCCTCAGTTGCTATTCTATGAAAAATCCACAGGGAAGTGTTGCTAATGTTATGTTCAAAACAAGTCATGTGTCATCTGTAATAATTCAGTGGCACCATGTCAACATGTCACCTCAGAGTAATGCACGTCATTTCCATGGATACGGCTGTAGCCTACAGTCTTTTAAGTATTATGTAGGTTAAGTCAAAAGGCTTGGAGCAGCACAATGCGGAGGGCTACTGCCCTAAAACAAACTTTGTAAGTCCCTTGTGTGTGTCTCTCTTTCTCTCTCACTGTGTGTATGAGCTCCCTCATGCTTGTTTCCTGGCTTAATGAAATATCACTCTAATGTTCCCATGATTTTCTAAAAGGGACTCATAATAATGCCTTATTTTGTATTTTTTCTTTTTAAATTACACATTTAAAAAATGTATAATGTCACACATTTATGCCCCTTTAAACCTATATTTCTCATCAGTCGAAAATCTTTTCCAGTTCCAGAGTTTTCCTTTGGGATAGACCTGCGTCACAATCAGTAAGCTCCTTTCCCAAATGCTCAGATTGTTCATTTCCTTGTGGGGAATAAATAGGGGGTGGTTCTCCAGTCGATATCTTTAATTGCTCCTGGGTTGTATCAATACCTACCGGTTTTACTGCTCCATCACGAGCCACTGGGAACGGGTTGCCCGGGAAACGGCCGCATGGCAACAGGATCAGAGCCTGGGGGTTGTCTGCTTCTAGGTCTGCTCCCATTTTACATCGCATTTCCTCACTAGATGGTGTGCAAGCCACTGGAGAGTACACTTCCCCGCACAGTGGGCTCTACATCCAGCAAAACAAAACCTGGGAAACTATACAGCGGACCGTTTCTTTTACGGGGCTCCGAGGAGGAAAAGTGTGGAAATAAAGCGTCGTTCGCGTCAAAGGCTTTCTTTTTTTTTTGAGCACAACCCGACGCTTTATTTTTTATTTTTTGCAACAAGAAGACTTGGGGGGAAAAAAAGCGGCAACAAAATACAGCTGTGATGGACATAATGATTGCGGTGCAGGATGCTTGTGTCTCTGGTCAGTGGCTTACTGCGATAATACTCAGCCTGTGCTGCTTTCTGCCGTCCTGTTTGCCCGCTGGACAAACTGTGGACTATTCCTCGGTTGAAAGTGTGGTCAGCAGACAAGGCGACACGGCTCTACTGAGGTAAAAAAAACACACACAACACACAACACACACACGCTAACACAACTTCACTTTCTCCCCGCTCCCACTCCGTCCGAGTTCCCCCATACTGAAAAGCCTCGACCGCACACACTCCCTCAACACCAGCTCGTCGTTTTTCAAACATGTTACGTTAACTACTTTTAAACAGACGCCTGCGATAAACACACAATAGGCCATTTTCCCTCCATCCTTGTTGTCGCCTGACAGGGGGGCGGGCAGAGCCGCTACGGTCGGACGCTGCCTCTCGCAAAGTGCAGCTCGGCTGGTTAAAGTTTTCTAACACACTTCTCACCCCCTTTCTGCGAACGGAGAAAGACGTGTGTTATGCTTTTTCGTGGTGTTTTGGTTTTCATAGCTGCTCCTAGGTTTTTGACGGGATATCACCCGAAGAGCCAAATTAGCCCACCCATGTTCGCTGGTTGCCACAGTTGCTTTCACTCGAGAAATGTGCTGCCTAACGTGTTGTTTTTGAGTTTTTGCTGAGTGCACGGTGTAATGTCGCAGTTTTAAAAAGCAGTACAGTGTGATGTCGCAGTTTGAAAACGAGGCTGAAGAGCGTATTTGTGGTCTGAATCTCCCTCTATCTCCCTCTATCTCCCTCCATCCTCCCTCCATCACGTCCGCTACGATGGCAGCTGCACAGGTAGCTGCCCATTAAGGACTAAATGAAGTGGCATGGGCGTGGTAGGGAGTTTGTTACAACGGCATGTTCTTCAATAGCAGCATTATAATAACAATAACATACAAAAAGTCAAGATACTTTAATAATAGTGTGTTTCGAAAGATCCTTTAATCGTTTAAAAGTTTCAATATGCCATTCTTGCTGTTTCTCTCCAGGCTGTAATTACGAGTATCTCTGTGTAAGTGTTGTTTCATTTCTTCAGAGAATCCAGAATTGTTTGGTTTTGGGGGAAGATGCAAAATCTTTTGGAGGGCTGTGATAATATCGTGTTCTACCAATATCAAATATCCGCTTTGATGGCTCCGAGGAAAGGCTGAGGGGCCGGGCCTGCCCCATTTCAATATGAATTCTGTGGATGTTGACTCTGAGAGATGCTCAGCGTGGACCTGCATACAGAGCAGCTAGCTGTCTAAAGTCCCACTCAGGTTGGCTTTTAGTCATTGTTGTCTCCTACTTTATTGCTGAAGAGCTGAATTATTTCGGTGGCATAAGGTCATGATCAGTGGCTGTATGGAGATGAGTCTGACTACGAGGATGAGAATTACCTTGGCAACAGTTTAGGGGGTACTTACTATTTTTACTTTGTTCCCTCTATGCCTAAAGGGCCATCCCGTCAAAGAGACTTACACCTCTGACCGTCTCTTTAGAGAGGGCGTCTTAATTCCCTGGTGTCAATCTGAGTTGGCTGTGATCAGTGGCTGAAGCTTTGCCTGAGTCCTGATGGTTTATTGGGCCGGAGATTATCCCCGTGCTATGAATCAGCTCAATAAACAAGTTGCCTGCCACCCCCTGAATAAGGCAACACTCTCCACAAGTGGGTCAGTAAATGCCAACTTGAAATGTAGGAAATGAATAGGGAAAACATTTTCAAGATGTTTTCCTTGCCAGGTTCTTACAGTTAATTAATGGGTTATTCAGCACTCGCTGGAACCATTCATTGGCTTTTTTTCCAGTCATGTAAATGCCGCCGCTGTGAAATGATCTCTTGGCTGCGCTCGCACCTGTTGACCTAATAGAGACGGTAAACCTCTTCAACTCCTACCTCTCCAGACTGCATCTCATCGCGATACATCGTTGTCACGCAAAGTGACGCTAGATAAAGGCCCGCTCTGTCTTGGCACGGTCATTTTCTCCAACCACAAGGAACCATTTCCCTCTTTTCTTGGTTTTCACTGGTCTGGAGAGCCCGGCATCAAAGCATGAACCGTTTCTTTTGAGAGCTCAGTGCAGAAAACAGTGCCTGTTTTGTGACATTCTCTATTGTCAAGACCCCTGACTATTACAGGGCAATTTCGCCGTGCCCCAAAGCTGATTGCCGGCTAAAAAATGTGAGCATTCTCAAATACTGACAAACCCAGAAGCACGCAATTAGTCACTGCCTCTGGATTATGGAGTAGCTCCCGAGAGGTGGGTCCGCTGTCACATGTTCATTTCCCCCACCTCTTCAATTCTTAGCGCCGCATTACTGCTGCCCCGATTCATGTTGGACAGTGGGTCCACATCAATTAAATGATTTGAGCCTCTCGTAGATGAGGAATGGTCCACATGTGCGTCGTCACTCTTTTAATCTTTTCTGACTACTTAAAAGCTCAGCCAGTTTCAGCCTCTAACAAAGGCCCTTGTGTTTGAAAAGACGGCTGCTGCTGCTGCAGTGTCTTGTCTTACATGAGTGCATTCAAGTTATGCACATATGCTGCATTTTTTTTACATACTGGCAGTCTGTGAGCTTCCATAGGGAGCACGTTGTTTAGAGGAGCGACCCATCCCTTTCTTCCCCATCTTTTCACAGGTTTGCTGTCTTTTGGATTCAGTTGAATAAACCTTGACTCTTCCCAGTAAATGACTCATCTGGCTGTAAATTTGAGCGGGACAGCCAGATGAAAAGACAGTTCCCTACGCTGTCAGGAAACACGCGGTGTCAGTGGCAGCCTCTTCCACACGGATAAGCAGCTGTAATCAACAGCAAAGAGCGAGTGTAAATTTAGTCCAAGCAGACTGAAATCTTAAGCACAGGCTATATTTGCAGCAGTATTCCTAAAAGTATGTCAGTCTTTCTATCTTGGTGCCCTGTGTGCTTTGTCCATCGCCTTCATGTCTGTTTCCCCAATAAAATATGTACGATAGTGTGAGTGTGAGACAAAAGGTACACTGATCGTGCTTTAAAAACGACATTTTACATCCTACAAAGGCAGGAAATGGGAACCAGGGAAATAAATGGGAGCGAGGCTGTACACACCGAGAATAAGACAATGATCCTCACTTATTTTTGTGATTTAGTTTGACAGTTGGCCCTCAGCCACAAAATAAGGCCTGCACCACAGGCCTTAGTCTCTGTAATGGTGCAAAATTGACCTGTCACTAGTTTGAAAGTCTGGTATTCGTATAAATCTAAAATCATTGCCCCATGTCAACAGAGCGGTTGATGAAAATCTCTTCTGGCTGTACAACGGTTGTACTCGAGCTGTGTTTTCCAGCCTTATCCAGGACCAAAAAAACGATGCCATGTATCATTTTCCTCCACTGTGTCATTATTATGGCTCTGAAAGGTCTTGACATTTACTATAAGCACTTGTGCCAGAGACAACATCTAGTTTTAAATGGCTTAGTGTCCCCGTCCCAGTGCAGATGCTGGTCAGACAGCACAGACGAAATATTCAGCGACTGTTCAAACTCCACAGGACGCATTTTAAACGGAGTAATTGTTGAGTCTCTCCTGAACACAGACCCTAGCCGCGGCTGAGAGGCACTCCCTCCACTTTCTGCATTTCATCACTTTTTTTTAATTAGGCCACAGCCAGTTCTGTTAAAAAGTATAAGCAAGGCTGCCTCATCTCAGCAGCTCGGTTGACGATACAGCAGATACAGTGAGGTCTTCAGATAGCTGCCGTACATCTGGAGCTCCATGGACCCGTTTGGGTTTAAACCCGGTGCACCTCTGATGACACATCTGCGGGCGCACCTGAGTCTGTCACTGTTAATTAAACGCCGAAATCCTCTCGCCTGTTTGATGCAGCACATGTTTAATGCGATCAGTGTCGCCGTCAGCACAGTGTTAATCTCTTTCACAGTCCTTATGCTCATCATGGTCTCCACATCTCAAGAATCAAGTGTTAGGCGAGTCATCTGACCTCGTTTTTTGGCGAGTGAATAGACGTTATGATGAGAAACAATGGGTGTGGGGGAGGGGCCTTTGTTAGGGAGGAGCTCCCAGATGGAGCCATTCAGATGTTTCCAACTGTAAAAAGAAATCTGACCTTTCCTTTCAGATAGCTAGCATATTGCTGGCGTTGAGGGTCTGTCTCCTGTTGCCCAAAGGGAAGCTGGTGATACTAAAGTATTCATCAGATTCATTACTCTGGCATCCATTTGCAATAGATATAGTGCTTCAGTACAAATGGAAATCAGCCAACACGGTGACATGCGGAGTGGCTAAGGAGTCTTTTAGTGCGTCTGCCTCCTTTAAGACCTCCAGTTAACTTCCTCCACAGCATCCACTTGAGACTCAGAGTCATGACTTGTTTTAAATTGTCATTCAGCTTGTTGCTGAAAGCAGCCTAATCCCCTTTAGATGAGAACTTATAAAGTTGCAACACTGTCTATGAAAATAAGTATTACACAAAACGACCCTGTAGCCAGTTTTAATATCTGTTTTTTTTACAATAACTGTTCCACTGAAAGTGAGACATTATCTCAAATATATGCGCTTTTAGTGATACATGTTCAATTAATGTAGAAGGACACTAATCAGAGGCTCTTTATAGATTTACAATGTAGCCTGGCTGGCATTTCACATGTTTATTTGATGTGCACTCATCTCTTTTTCAAAACAAATATACAGAAAATCCAAACTAATGTTGTAAGGTAAGGCAACTCGTTTCTTTCTGGCTTAAGGTGCCGCCAGAGCTTTTTAGTTACATGCAGTGATTTATGGCCTTTTGTTGTAACTAGGTAGTGGGGCTAACATACATTAAACGCCAAATTTGCACACTGTAAACCATTTTCAAATGGATTACATTTATAGTCATCATTTGTCAGGCAAGTCTATCCATTGTACTTTCTAAAAATTAAGCGTTTCTATTTCTAATATATTTCAATTAGCGCTAAAGTGATTGAGTGCCCTGGTGAATTAAAGCCTGAATGGAAATGTTTTCTCAAGGTAAATCCTTCGAGGGAAATAGATGCTATGCTAGGCTTTAAAGCATCTTTATAATATTCTTATAATCACTACAATTATAGGGGATAGGGGAAATGATTTGGGGCGGAAAATGGAGCTTTTACCCGCTCCCAGCTGTGAGCG